GAGACAGAAAGCGAGAAATCACCCCCCAGGGGGGATGGTCATGCCACAATCCCTTCTCCTCCATTCTCCTCTTGGGATCTTGGGCATGCACGCAAACGCGCCTGGCGTGAGTTTTAAGCCACCGGGTCCGGGATGCGAACCGCGGTCGACTACATGGGAGTCCAGCAACATAGCCATTACGCTTACTGCTGGTTCCCAATGAAGTTTGTTTTTTGAAAGTTAAAAACAAATTTAAGAAGTAATCTCACTGGACAAACAGTGCCTAAACCTGAAAAAAATGGCTTGACCATCAGGACTTTATGATGGCTGACTGTGAAGTGCAAGGGATTGGGATCTGAGGGTACTCTAGGGATCAACCATCGTATTTGACTATAGCAGTACCAGGGATGTGGGACTTTTAGTTTCCAAACCAGAATGGTCCTGGTAGATGGAGAAACTTGGAACTCTAGGGTATGTTTTCACTTCTCAGTGACACCTTATATAATACTGCACTCTGTAAAGCTCCATAACAGCTTTTAGGCATTTGTACTGAGTTCATCTTTTGTTTATTTATTTGAGAGAGAGAGAGAGAGAAACTCTCTTGACAGGGGCTTGTCATGCCACAGTTCCCCACTCCTTGCAGCCTTCCAGCCAGCCATGACCATGGGCACACATATGTACCAGGCAAAATTCAGGTCAACCGAGACTTGCACATGGTGCCAGCATTGCAGAGTATGTATTACTGCTTGTGCCACTGTGGCCGGGTTCTGACTTCATTTCTTGATGGCACAGATGACTGAGTTTAGTTAAGGCTTAATTACCAACTACACAAAATGCATTATGCTTAATTTTTTGAAATTAAGTGAACAAATTTCTTCAGATTGGGTAACTGATCCTTTTTCTTTCTGGTCAGTTACAACTGATTTTTCCCCCTATAAGAAGGGGGAAAATGTTAAAAAAAATCCTTTCTGGATTTTAACTAGTGATTTCAATTCCCTCTCTATCGAGGAGGATCACATAGAGGTTGTGTGATAAGGACATAAAACACTAAAGGTGAGCCATCAGCAAGTTCTAACACATTTACTATTCATCCAGCTTCCTTTTGACATAGCTGTGTATCTGTTGTCTTTGAGGTAGATTATCTCTCATGGAAACAATTTCTTTTTTTAAAAATTTTTTAAAAAGAATTATTTTATTCAACTTTATTTGTTTACTTATTTATTTTAATTTGAACAGAGAGGGACAGAGCGAGAGCAAAAGAGAGAGAAAGTGAGAAAACAAACCACCAGATCTGGGACTCGAACTGTGATTGGCCATGTGAGAGTCCAGTGCCCTTAACCACCATGGCACCTCATGGAAACAAACTCTAAAATTCATCTTTATGTCACTCCAGGTATGTAACACTGACATGATGTTTGTGAAATTTTACAGTTGCCAAGGAAAATACCAACCATGTGATACACTCAGTGTGACTGACTCCCTCACATCACCCTCATTTGGCAAAAATTACCTGAAAGGAACTACTCACTTTGACTTAAAATTTGAATGTTATGTTGTATTTCCAGCCCCAGGTTTTTGCACAAAAAATGAAAACCCCAGAAAATATATGAAAAGGAGTGAACTATCATGTTTTCATTAAACCATTAAACCTGGACAGCTGGATAAAAGATAAAAAATAGTGTACATTCAAAAAGTCTAGTAGTATTATTTAAATTACTAGGAACATCTGTTATTGGTATAGTGTATTCAACAGCACAATTGATTTTAAGACTGAAACACGGTACATATTTCAACCTTTACATAAAATATGCCCTTAGTTTTTGATTATGTAATGATAAAATGTACCTGCTGAAAAATATATGTGGAAAAAGGAAATAATTTTTATACAAATATGACTCATCTGTAGGCATTCATTTATTCTAATCCAACCAACTATGGTAAATGTGTTTGAATTACTGGGAATAACTATGCAACATTTAAAAGGGAGTGGAGATCTTTATTAAAACAGAAGGCTCCTCCAATTCCACGATGATGTCAGTAATATAGGTCCTTAGAGCACATTATTGTTTTAAGCGGAGGTCCCCACACTTTCACATTGGTTATAAAACACTATTTTGTGCTGCTGGCCTGGAATGAGAATGTCATACATCTGCAGGCAATTAGAAGAAGCTGGATTGCATGTTTGATTAGCTCAATAATAAACGGGCACAAGTGTGACTCGACTTATGTTAGTCAGATTCCCTAGACAGATTATCCTGTTGTTATCATATGAAATAACCCCCCTTTTATCAACAATTAAGTAAATCCACATTTATGGGCACTTTGCACAATTGTGAGGTGGGAAGAAATCCAACTTAAGCCTTAAGTCATCTAAAAAACTTTAAATCTAGCTTTCAATGGTATGGACCCCAATTCCAAATTTCAGAAATTGGCTGAATTATAGTTTGGGTTGGAAACACCCTGTGTGTACACAATCAACAAGTATGTATATTTTCCATAAACAAGGCATTTAATTGATTTAGTTTAGTTGATTAAAAAAAAAATTCTGGCCAGCTGTTGGCATGGTGGTTAGGTGACTGTATCCCACACAGCTGGCTAGGTGGTTCAAGTCCCCAACCCAGACTCCTGAAAAACATGCTGAGCACATGTGCAAGTGTGCCCAAAATTCTGAAAGGAGGGAGAAATGGAAGAGAAAGGTTTGTAATATGACCACCCTCCTAGAGGGGGTCTCACTTTCTATCCCTCTCTAGTAAGCACAAACACCCTTAAATATACACACAGACACACACACACACACACATTCCCAAAGAAGTAAGAATTATAAATGTTTTAGTATGTGAAGAGTAACTTGGTAAGGTAGTATAAATATTTTCGAGAAAAATAAGATTTCATTTTCATCATTCACAACAGTTTCTACTGTGCCAATGCATGGCATAGGTCTTGATTATATTTTATTCTAGAACTTCTTTATTCAGTTCCAGGTATTGTACTTAAATTCAACTGTAAGTGTTAATGATGGACTACAAACTACTTTTGGAAATGATTCATTCATTTATGTATATTTTTTCTCTCAACTACCCTTAAAATACATCATATCAACCAGTGTTTTATAACATAGTAAGGTAACTAGAATTAACAATAAGTTAATGTGTATTTCAGAAAAGCTAAAAGCGGTGATTTTTAATGTTCCCAACACAAAGTAATGATAAATTATAAGATGGATCGGTTCATCACTCTTATCTGGTCATCACGCCTTATTTTCATGTGTATGCACACCATACTCCATAAACATGTATTATTGTCATGTATTATGTGTCAATTGAAAATAAAAAAGATATATATCATCAGAAGTGCTAGAAATGACTCAGGATATAAAAGTGGATACTTAAAAATTTTTTTAGCAAAACTTTTCAATTTCAGGAGAAATACCACCATACCTTCCAATCTAATTTAAATAAGACTATTAACAGTTGGTGTATCTTAAGTAAACTCAGGGCATGTTTTAACAGTATTCACCCATATACATAGATAAGGATAACCTCATTAGTTTATCTCATTGACATAATCCTTAAATGAAGTATCAGAATATCTAGCAGATGCTGAAGCATTCAGCATCAATATTGGAATTCTGACTCATGACAGTAATACAAAACAGATGCTAATACGATGCGCCCTCTGAAAAGTGACACCATCACAGCATGGGTTAGCTCTTGATGTTTGGTACTTAAAATTTGCAAAATAAAAATAATAAAAGTCAGAGCATGATAGGTTTTCTTACTTCATTTATGAGCCATTTAAAATCTAGTATCTGTTATACAGAAGATAAAACTAAGCACTGGTGAATAAGGAGCAGTATCCCTGGGTGTGAGGAGATACATCTTTTACCTACTGTAGCAGCTGTGATCCCAATCGAACCCCTCACGCATAACCAGTTCCAAGGTAAGAATTGCTGGGCCCTTTCTATTGGCCGGTGTGCACCATGCACTTACGTGGTGGTGACTTGGAGTCCTGTAATGCCAATTTACCTACTCAGCCCCTGGCAGTGACAAAGGGGTCTGGGGGCTTCCAGGGCCCCATCTGAGTAACACGATCTCTACATCAGGCAGTTCTGAAACTATTGCTAAGCAGGAAAAGAAAAACAAAAGTCCCTTAGTGCAGTCCAGTTAGCTAATATCCTACATGTCTTCAAAGCCCGAGATTCTTATCACTTTCCTAGCACGATTTTACAGGTGTTTCTAGAAGGCACAGCGATAATGCACTTTGTGTGTGTGTGAAAATAAACAGAAAAGCCCAGGAAGAAAGTGCCATGAGACTAGTGATATAAGTGAAATGAGCTCAAATAAGAACTTTAAGAAATACATTATAAAAGTGAGTAGGGAGACATCCTCAGGTAATGAGAAGCAGGAGTCCTATTTCTTTATTCCTAAATGAGGAACATAAGCCAATGGTAAGTTCAATGAGAAGAACTTGAGAAACCCAAGCAGGACATTGATGGAGTAGCATGACAGCAGCGCACTTTCAGACTCCAAATGAATAGCCCGACCACTGCTCTACCAGCTGTGGCCCTGGCACCCACCTGCCTGGGTTTTGAAGGCCAGCTCTGCACTTACCACCTATATGAACTTTGGTTCTCAAACCTGGCTGTGCACAGGAATCACATGGGGAGATTTTAAGACTACTGATGCCTGCAACCCACCCTCAGACACTTATTTAATTGGCTAGAGCATGGCTTTGCTGTGAAGAAGTTTTAAAGGCTCTCAACTGACTTTAAATATGAGCAGCTAATGTTGGGAACCACACGGAGGAACATGTGAGCTAGTTTCCTCATTTGTAAAGTGATGATGACACCGACAGCAATGACCTCTTAGGATTATTGCACTGATTAAACGTGATAGTGTAGACAAAGCATGTAGCACAATGTCTGGCATGTGGAAAGCCCTCCATAAGTGTGAGCTGTTGTCACCCTCACCATGAGGTGCACTGGCAAGAACGTTCTTGTTGGTGTAATAAGTCAGGCTTACCTTGACACACGTTGTGCTCGCTCTGCTCATAGCCTGCTGCGCACTGGATTCGGTGGGAAGGGTTGGAAGGAATGCGCTGGGGGTCAGCCGGGTTCCGCCGGATGACAAAGTTATTTCGGCCAGTCTGCACCTCAGGGCCAGCAACTGCAGCAGCACTGGCCACAAAACCACCCCCAGGCAACACTCCACTGGCTGGCATTCCCCTCGCT